CCCCAAAACCCCAAAACCCCAAAACCCCAAAACCCCAAAATTTGATAAATTTATTGAAAACTTTATTGAAAATTATGAAATTTTGCTGTGTTAATCTCCTTTCTGATTGCCATAATCGTTTGTCTGGTTAAGGAAGTTACTCAACAAGTCGCTATATGTAACTAAAGGACCTTACTCAGTCAATGGATTTACATGCTCACTTGGATAATGAGATAAGTTGTAATTGAATTGGGAACTATCCACTTGAGGATTCTTCTCTAAACTTCTAAGAAATTAGCAATACTCTTCAAAACTGTCTTTCTAGTCTTCTTATCAATAAATTTATGGATCTTAATCACTTTCTCAGGTGACAAATAATTGATGTTGGGACTATTTACAGAAGATCTTGAGATTTTTGGGGAAATTTTACGCTTGTCATATGAAGACTTGATCTTTGAGCCTATAAATTAGCTGCGAAAGCTTACCCAAACTGCTATTTGATGGAAAACTTGGCACATTGTTTCCTTTTAGCCTATAAATAATTTTCCTTTCCTACTTCTTCTTCTTTAACTTGTTCCAAACCTTATAATCAGTGATTTTCTGTTCTTGGTAGTTCTGCTTGTTATTCTTCTCAACTAATTTTGAATCTGGATCTTGGAATTCTAATTATTAGGAAGAGAAGCTACCAAAAGTTTTTAGCTGCTGTTTATTCAGCAATTTTGTATAAATCACAGCTGTGTTATTGAGCTTAGGTTTATTCTTGATTTCCTAAGGATTTAAGTAAACTTATACCTTTCTGATCTTATCTATCTGGATATTCAGACAAAAATCTTGGTGGACATCTTTTAATGCAAATTTCTATGAGATAAGTTCAAATATAGTACCTGAGTGTTGGAATCAAAACTCTTAAAACCAGGTTTTGGGATTCTTATACTATCGAAATGGTGTAGGACAGCCACTTGTGTCATGCCTAGTTTGTCATATCAGTCTTGATCATGGTTATTCTTTGGTTCAATTGATACATGTCTTGCTCCAAATTTTCTATGGCTACCCCTCTTGCTTCTAAAAGTGCTTTTGGCGTTTCTAATAGATTATATGAATTATTTCTTACCTCTGATTTCTATGAAATTGGGGATTTTCCAAATGGTTTTTATTAAAACTACCATAATCTGTACTTCGAGCAGGAGACTCTTCTCCTATTTTAGGCTTCAGGGGATTTTCAGAGTTCCTTAATCTTGGGAACCCAGACTTCCTCTGCAATGAAATTCTTTCATCATTATTATTTATTCATTAATGAATGAAATTTTGCCTTCTCATTTCTCTGAGTTTTCATAAAATCTGGTTTGATCTCTTCAAGTTTTGGTGGTATTTCTCCTTGAACACCTGCATTTACTCCTTTAGATTCTATTAGTGTTAGAAGTGTTTATATTTTCTTAATTTTACCTTTCCTAACTGAACTAAACCTCTTATCAAACGTTTGAATTTGGGTAATTTTCATTAAATTTTGGTCATCTTCTACACAAATCACCAAAAATCCCAAACCTGCTTCTTGTGCAACTGACCTCGCTGAGAGTTCCAAACCGGGGTTAAAGACATCCTTAATCCTAAGTTTATTAACCCACTCAATAATCCTATTCCTTCTCTGACTGACCTGACTCTTCACGTCCACTCTGGATGTGCTCTTCTTCACAGACACAAAATTATGGCACTGGTGTTTAAGCTTCCTTGTGCACATGAAGAAAGTTTTGTTGTTAATGCAAGGGGCTTCTTTAGGAAGGTTTTTGAAGACGGGCCTGGGAAAAGGCGATTTTGACATTTTTAAGGAATTTATTTATGTTTTTAAGCTTGAGATGGGTGATGGGGTTTTGGGGTTTTGGGGTTTTGGGGTTTTGGGG